CACATTTTACTCCAAACATATCGAAAATCACCGACTGCATTTGTTTCTTTCCAACTGCTTATGAGATATGCGTAATTCTGCCCAAAAACGTGTTTTGATATCTTTGGAGCATGATATATAAGCCAAGTAGACCGTATGAAAGAGCGCAGAAAAAAAATGTGTGACACACCATGTGTGTCACGCGGTCCGGAATGCGTTAAAATTGGCTCACCTTTGCCAGGCATATAGCTGAACACTGGATATTCTTGAAAACGAAGTCATCGATGTCCTTCATGCAATCTGAAAGTATTCTGTAAGATGTCTCGGAATCCATGGAAATCACAGAGTGAACCGATTAAAAGAATGGTACGAGCGCCATCTTCACGCGAGTGTTTCTTTTTTGTATGCTAAAAAGGGTTTAGTGCACGGATATGGGGAAGGTAGGAGGTGAAAAGGGAGCGAAAAGGAAGGTGTTACAGCCTCGTTCGCTGCGGATGATGGGGCGTATCAGCGCGGCTACACTCGCTAACCCATTCATCATCAGTTTCTGAAGAGCATAAGCGACAACAGCTGGTGGAAAACGACTGATACGAACGATAAAATGGTTTTGTTGCTTGCCGAAAGAAAAATTGGCGTCGCGCCAAACGCAACCGCCATTACAAACCCCATCACCCGCTTCGCACCTGACTATACCTAAGCCCAGACTGAACGAGCTATGAGGTGGATGAAATAACTTGTGCACATACTGTTTTGAAAAAACTCGTAGTATTGTGGTTTTACCGGAGCCAAATGCCAGTCATCTATCAAGTATCCAGTATGGAGATGGCACCAGGGTATCACTATCCTCCAGCCCCGTTCCAGGGCGCAGTATGCCGACGGGGGGGGGGGGCATTTTGCACTTTCGTTGCTTCACTAGTTTGGTTTACAAGTCTCACTCTGGTGAAACCTGTGAACTCTTGTGAAGCTGGAGCAAGCTCGTCAAGCCATCATGGTAAAACCTGTCAACTCGAGAAGAGGCTGTCTAGATGGGGTATGTGACAAGAGGATCGTAATTTGCCGCGCTGCTGGGCGTCGCGTGCGACGTCCCGCCCGCAAAGGACGTAGATGGCGACAACATGCAATTAAGGACCGAAAACAGTAATGAGTGTCTACGATGACGGGGTCTACATGAAGTCCAATGCTCCATTCGGACAGGCTAAAACGAATATATGAAACGCCGGCGGCACTTCTGCCCGCGCGTGGCGTGCGGCGAATACGATCCCTCTTACCCGTCTCCCGTCTAGATGGGTCGAACACGTCGAGGGAAGGCTCGTAGAGGCAAATCCTCCCTTTGTCGACCAACATGCGCCCCGTATCCAGTGTATCTGACAAAGTTGGTCACTACGCAGTTGCGTACTTATTGTTCATACACAAACGAGGACCAGGATCTAAGGACTATGTCCATCATTCTCTTTAAGGTTAAGTTCAGTCATACTCAAATTCTCCCAAAATTTCGCTGTTCGAAGGGGGGGAAGGGTCCTCCATTCGGACCCTCTCATAGATTTGCACAGAGATGACTGAAATGGTGCAAAATAGGCCCACATTCTTGACTAAATTTTAGAAATATTGAAATTAGTGAGCCCTTGTACATGCGGAATCCAAAGGAGTTGAACCTTGACGTGCATTTCAACCGTATATGAAACAATATTCATGTGCACCGCCACAAATATAACAACAAGTAGATGAACAACAGAGTATTTTGCGCTACAAAAAGGCGCATAATGGAGGAACGAACTTTCTTCAATCAACGTACACCTCTAGACAAAACATTCACAGGTATTCTTAGTGGAAAGCTTTTCACACAAGTTGTCAAACATCTTCAAGAATTTCCATGCTAATCATAAACTATAACAAAACCAATTGTAACTATAAAAGAGCCGCAAAATCGACGAAATGGAGCTAAAACAATACCAAAAAAATCGACCATTTATAGCTCAGACTAAATGCCAGAAACATCGCAAGTAACGAGAAATACCAAAATTAGCCATGTAAGGAACTTTTTGCAGAGATGCAAGATGCTAAGAGAAAATTACCCTTCCAAGAAACTCGCTGCGGCTTAGTGATATACTAAGAAATAATGAGGGAAGCGTAGTTTAGTAGAGCATTTCCATATTGCTGTTTCGAGGCTTTTTGATCTTTTCGATGTTCTTCGTGATGATGTCGTAAAGTGTAGAAAAGTGATTTCGCATCTCCAACACCACCAATCTGCAAAAATCAGCTTGAGGTACCATCTACGCTCGTACCTTACAGATTCGACCAGGATGAAGGGGCGTGTCAGTGCGGCTGGGTTTGGTGCGCCACCACTCCGTTCTCTACTAGCTTTTGAGAATAGTAATCAACGACAACTGACCAAAAAAGGCTGATAAGACTCCTGTGATACGGTCCTGTCGCCTGCCGAAAGAGAAGAAAGAAAAAGAAACAGGTAGCGCCACGCCGAACCATTCGCCCTGACACGCCCCATTACCCGCAGCGAACAAGACTAGAACTCACCTGACGTTTATGAACTGTTTTTCATCCATGTCTAGTATTGCTCTTCTGTAGTCATCTACATGAGGATATTTTGCAACCTGAATAATAAATTAATAGAGGAAATGCGAACGTTTCACGCTACGTAGACATTGTTTCATTAAAAAACTAATGTCAGACATCACAGCTCGTGCTCCGAAAGTTACCACAAGGATGCTGAGTCACGGGCAAAAGTTTGACTCCAGGCAGGACTCGAACCCGCAGTTCATGTTTTCCGAGTAAAAGCGCTATTCATCACGTTGATAAGGCTACGTCACAAATGCCATTGAGCTGAGAGGGTACGAGCGCCCCTGGTAGCGTACCGGGTAGGGCCCGAGAAGCGTGAGGGGTGAATCCGAGCCTCGCTTTGGAACAACACTTGTGACATAACTCAGCATTCTTGTGGTAGCTGCGTAGACACTCACTGTGGAGACATTTGCTTTGAAAGTTTTAAAAGGAAATTTTAAAAAAAGTTGGAGGAACCAATATCGATCATCTAGTGGGTTTCTCAGTCGTCTAGAGAGAGTGTTTCTGGGGGCAGTTGTTGCGCCCGCCCAAAAACGTTACGTTACGCTGTCGGGAAAAGGTTATAGACCCTAATGCTCACGATTCATTTCCCGCGGAACACACAAAACAGCTAGGAGCGCAACAATAAGATGGGTCAATCTGCTGAAACGACGGCGCGGCTTGTCGTTTGGGGGGCTGATACGATTTTCTTTCCCATCCGAAAATGTGCAGGTAGAGGTGCGGAAAGGAGGAGTGGGCATGTGACGGAAAAAAACAACGAAAAAACTCTATAACCGAAAACGTTTTTCAAAAGTAAGATGACTTAAAGTTGAAATGGTGAACCGAAAGAAGGAGGATGAATCAGATCAAAGTGATCGAGTGCATTCAGGACAGTCGTTGTTTCTCTCAGTGTTTAAAGGCAGTTGGCACGATAAATCCCCCAAGACGACTAGGATCAATACTCCTGGCAGGATAGAATTCCGCGACCCTGGGCAGGCGCTGCATAGCGGTTTCCCCGAGGAAGGTGCCCTTATAAGGGCCCTATCAAGCCACAACTTTACGTCCCAAACGCCCGCCCGCCCACAAATGGACGACCGTTCCTGACGCTCGTATTCATTCATTTGCTAAGCAAATTATGAAGCGAAGGGATATGAAGCGGCCGTGATGCTGCATGCATACATGGGTACACATATGCAGCCGTATCTTCGGTAGCGGTGATTGGTAAGATGCCTACGGGAAACTCGTCCGAAATCGATTTACAAGTCACTGAGAACGGAGGCTTTTTCTTCGCAGGATTTTGACCGTTTCACTCCGTTCTTTCGCCATTTCCCCACTATACAGCGCCCTACTAGCAGGCTAAGTAGGAAACCATCGTGCCAACTGCCTTTAACCTCCCGTAGAACTAAAGCAGTTGACCTATGACACTTCTTACCCTCAGGCCGGCTCCATTTTGAGGACCAAAACATGTCAAGAAATCAACACGAGTTCTTTCACTATTCAAAAGGCCAGTAAAGATTCAAATGATCACTTTTACTGGACGACCAATGCTTTCTTTAACAGCATCACTTCCATGAAGGTTATAGAGTAACAGATAGTACTTGCCAGTGATAAAACGGTAGTAATACCGCAACAGATACTGATGTTGCTCTTTTATATATCTTCTGCCAATTCGAAATTGCTAAGCCTGTCACTGAAATGGTCCCTAATTGAAGATCCATTTTTAACCTTCCCTTGAATCATACATAAATTTCTCCAGCCTTATGGCCATAGCTTTATTATCTTTCTAAGCCCCAGAAGTGAAACTCATGAAGATCTTTTGAGTATCATCTGATGGTGAGCATCTTTTTACGTCAGGCACCCAAAA